CGTTGCGGCGCTGCCTACCCTCGACTTCGCGGGCGCTCGCCCGGCGCTCGCCCTCGCACGCGTCGGCAGTCTGCCCGCCGCTCTGCCGCCACAATCGGAAGACACTTCGGCGGCGACAAGAATCAGGCCGAACCGCGAGTTTGGTGCGAGTTTAGTCGGGACCGTGACGCAGGCCCCCCATCAGAGTGCCGAACACCGTCTGTCTCTCTCACTCCCTCGCACGCGTGGTGCGTGGAGTGGGGGTGCGAGAGAGACAGCGCGTCGCTTGCTCCGCCAGATGGCGCACAAGCCACGTGCGCTCCGTTGAGTGAGACGCGTGCTGTTTGCCGACGCGTCTTCGCCTTCCAGGCGACTCCGCGCTCCCCGACCTCGTCGTCCTCGTCGTCCTCGTCCTCGCTTGAACAAACGAGAGCGACCAAGTCCCTGATCCGTTTAGCCGGGTCGCGGCCGGGTTCCGGGTTTTGGCGGTTCGAGCCCCGAGGCTGTCCGAGCCAGGCCGCCCCGAGGCCCTCGCAGTGGCCCGGCCCGGCCGAGAGGTCAAGCCCGCCGCGTGGGTGGAGGCGCTCTGTTTTCCGAGCGCCAACTGGCTGCCGGGGCACCTCGGCACACTACTTCGCCTGCCTCCCGGTGGATCCCATCGCAGGGAAATAAGACCGAGGAAGGGGACTTGCTGCCCTGCCCGGCCCTGCCCGGCCCTACCCCACCTCGGCCGCCCTCAGCCCCACCTGCTCTCTAACGATCATCCGATTGAGGTCCGGACCTCAGCTGATTATGGCACTTCAGTTTGCGAGTTGCCTCCCTGCTCGCCACCGCGGGGCTCGCCCTAACGATGTTCGATTTGAGAAGTGGTTGGGACCGGCCTAGGCGGGCCTAGGCGGGCCGACGGACCACCGCCACGTCTCTGTGGCCTCGCTACCTTGCCTCCTAGGAAGAGGCCCTGGGTGGAGTCGAAACTCTGGGTCAGTGTGCAGTCCTACTGACACAAAAACAACGGGAAATTTACTAAAAAAAGGCACGCAGTGGTTTAACCTGATCGTTCAGAACATACCTCAACGCGATTTTAAAGAAAAGACCCGAGTTTCGTAACAACATGGAACTTACAGTGTTTTGGCCAGTAGTGTTTTCGACGAGGTCTACTGTTGATTTGCCAGTGGACGGCCAGCAGTCTGAAATGGGGGCAGCGGGCTTGTTGGGAGATACATTGAGAGGGGCCACGAGCTTCATGAAGACTGGAGGGAGGGGGAGGGAGATAGAGAGAGGGAGGGGGGGGGGAAGCACACCGACCTACACCGAGTCTACAGAACTTCCCTCCGACAATCCGGTTAGAAACTTGTTAATGCATTTATGATCACTGCAGCCATCGGATCGCGCGCAGAGCACGAACAGCCGGCAATGAGGAAGCGGTCCGAGAGTTCACGTCTCTTTTTGAGGGCTCTTCTTTAGCGTATTTCAATCTAATTTCGCGATGAAACTCCGGCGCCTAAATTTAATTAAACGAGAAAATAAAAAAAAAAACCGTGATGAAAAAGTTGGCGGTGGAGTGGGTCCGAGGCAGTAGTGTGTTACAGTGTACAGTACCTCCCCAGCCGCTCGGCGCGCAGTGCGAGGCACTGCGAGGCACTGCGTCCCGACGTCACTTGTTCCACTCCTCCTCGTAAACACGGCGCCTTAATGGCCTCCAACTACTTTCGCAGCGAGATAATTACAGCGAGCAAACAGATTCATCGATGCCAAATACGACAAACCAATTACCGGCGGGGCTCAGCCCTCATTGTGCCGCTGTTTTCCCCGGCAGTGCCCTGGCGTTGCCCTGGCGGCCGCGCGGCGGAGACCCTGGAGTAGCCGCGCTGCAGGCCGGGGACGGCGCGGGGCGGGGAAGAGCAGCGGAAACTCATCTCGGAGCAGCAGAAGGACGGGCGACGTCTGATGGACTACTCGCTGAAGGGGCCGAGACCGTTAGAAAATGGCTGAAATTTTGGGCCCGCCACGGCGACTCGGCCTTGAAATGGTCATCAAGTGACGACTCAAATTTTCACAGTGCAGCCGTCGTCCCATCCCCCCGCCCGGTTACGGGGCCGGAAAAACCCGCGGCGTCGTTACTCGGCCGGGGAATATGATGTGATTTCGGGCGACGAAATTAGTCATGAAATTAGGCAACAAAAAAGACGCCCCGGTTTTTAATGGCGCTCGCCGCGAAGGAGTAATGAGGGTGCAGGAATCCAGGCGGGCGGGGTGGGGCGGGGCGGGTGAAGCACCTCAGCGGGAAGGAAAATGCAAGTTTTAAAAAGCGAGCAACTCGATGTCTCCAAGGGCGCGGCGAGCGGTGGCCCGGCCGGCCGACTGGGCTTGAACTGCACCTTGCCGCTGTAGAGACAGCCCTGCCCCGCCCAGGCCTCGGCGCAGCCAGCTCCAGTTTTGCCCCGCCTTTGATTTCATCTCGTGCGGATGAGAGTGGCGGGCACAAAAAGACTGACGGAGAAAGAGGATTAGAGGGTAGCGGGGCACGGCGGGCAGCGCAGCGGGTAGGAGGGAGTAGAGAGTAGGGAGTCGGGGGTCTGCGGCTACACAAAGCGACCATATAGGCACCGCGGGGCCCCGCTCTCTCTGTCTCTCTCGCTCTCTCTCTCCCTGCCGGCCGGGAAGGGTCCAGTGATTGTTGAAAGTTGAATGGGAGCGGCGAGCGAAGTGGGAACGAACCCCCTCCCCTCCCCCTTGGCCCTGCCGCCCTTTTCTGCTTAGTGCGTTTCGCGCCACTGTGCGGCCCCAGCCTCGGCCTTGCCTCGGCCCAGCCGATGCCGCTCCTCGCGCTGCCGCGCCGCCGCCGTCGCCACGAGCCAAGAGGCCCCCGAAGAGAAAGACCACTCAATAGCCTCACGAGAGCTTTCAAAACGAGAGCGCTGCTTTTGTTCTTTGGCCCCCTTTCTTTAAGTTTCTGACCGGAAGGTTTCAGCTTTTAGCGTGTTTTTCAAAACGCCGGGCTTTAATAATTCCAGCCGCTTGTCCTTTGCGTGTGCTGCGGTGCGCGCGCGAGCGCCAGATTGCACAGAAGACCAGAAGACTCTAGGCGCGTTTTGAGCTCCAGAGTCGCTAAATGGGACTCGAACCGAACGTTTGACCCCACCAATGAATTGCTCTCCGAACGAGGAATCCATTGGTGGGGTCACACGTTCGGTTCGAGTCCCGTATAGCGACTCTGGAGCTCGAAACGCGTCCAGGATTTTGACCGCCTCCACACCGGTCTTCTGGCCCACTGTGTACTGGTGTGTTTCCAACGCGGTTCGGTTGCCGGCATGGAATCGTCCACGTTGCGGCGTACTTTCCTGCTGTCCAGTGCGTTCGCAGCGCGGTCGCAGTGCCTGATGAGCCCCAGTAGTGGATGATGACGGTACACCGGAAAATGTGGAGTCATGGCCAGTTAGGTCCAGCAGCGGTCCACGTAATTGGCGCTAAAACGGGCTAGAACGAGGCAAACGACCACTCTGCCGGCTGCGTCGCTTCGATCCGTGTGCGGACATGCGGAGGACACTGCTGCAGAGTGGAGGGTATTAGTTGTTTTTGTCGTTCTTCATCTTCTTGTTGTTGTTGTTGTTGTTGTTGTTGTTGTTGTTGTTGTTGTTGTCAGCAACACCACAATTTTTAGGAAATGATTGACGTGGCATACCAGCCCTTTTCTAGATGCCATTCGAATTCCGAAGTCCATATCTCGAATGACACACACCGGCGACGTACAGTCCGATCCAGAGAAGTGCTCCTCGCCTAAAAGTTAAAAAGTGTGAGGGAAAAAATCACACAAGGAGGAGTTTTGAAAATTCTTACCTTTATTCACACTTATCTTTTTTTGTTGCATATTATAAAGATCAATCTTTGAAAACGATAAAAACATTGTTAGACAAAGAACACATAGAGGAGAAGGATGACAAGTGCAGTCAAAGGAAACAGACAGCAGACGAAAAACTGCTACGGTACGTATAACAGATCTGGATATTTTATCATACACCATGGTAAGAAAGTCTGAAGTCAGTAACATCAATTCAGTTAAGAGAATATCTTATGATATAATGATTGTATTTCGGCGTTACGCGGGTGTGTCTTTACAAAATGCTTTTTCTTACTTCCATACAACATTTATTTTCTTGCTTCATGCTTATTTACCTAGGTCCACTTCAATTATATTTTGGCAAGAGTAGACTTTGAATGATCACAAAAATAATAATCTTATTTTAAAATTTCTTTTCCTGATCGAATCTTAATTTAACGTCGGCAGTCAAAAATAACAGAGTTGAATAAAGTAATTAATGTATATCTAGCGGCCGAAACCGAAAATTTACTTATTTTACTCCACACACTCTCACTAATGCATTCGCACGATAGGCACATAGAGACCACGAGAGAAAAGAGTAACACTACTCGATTCGTGGTCAAAGAATATCACAATTGTAAAAACACACAGTCTGTCACACGCAACTACAAAGAGCACGGGCCGCCTCAAACCACTCACGAAAAGGCGCTTTTTGCATTTGCATGGACGAGATGCTGCACTCCATGAATACATTTCCAAGCCGAGCCCCGGACGCAGCTCCCCGAGGACGGCGTTCTGACTTACAGTGGCAGTGGGCTGGCAGGGGGTGGGTGCAGCGTTTTCGGAAACACACACTGCCTACAGATCAGGCAATGTGTCACATACGCAGCGTTGCGGGAGAGAAGGGGGAGGAGGGGGCAGCCCTTTGGACAGACATTCACAGAAGTATCACTCACCCAACTCCAGCCCAATTTGCAGACGAGTTCGCGCACAACTACGCCCTTAAACTACCCCGTCAAACCCTCGTCACCGCCGGGGCGTCTCACAGCGTCCAGAGCATGGCGCGCGCGCTTTTTGAAAGTCCCGCGCACTCTGCGCCGACGAGGCTCGAGGCTCACAGGCGGATGAAGGTGACGCTGTGCTTCTTGGGCCGGGGCGTGGTGGCCGTCCCGCCGCCTTTGCCAGGCGGCGGGGCCTCATATCAGACACGCATCTCGCTGAGGGCCGCGGAGGGCATGCCCATGCCGCCGCCGCCGTGGGCGTTGGCGTTGTTGTGCGCGTTGGCGTGCGCGTTGTTGTTGGTGGTGATGGCCGTGACGGTGCCCGCCGCGCCGCGGTGGCACTCGGTGGGGCTCTGCTGCTGCTTGCCGCGCGGCGCCGCCGGCCCGCCCGACCTGCAGGACGGCCTCGGCAGCGACGAGAAGTACGGCAGCGTGCCGTTGGCGGTCGACAGCGACGTCTCCGCCATCATCTGCACGTTGCCGCGCGGCAGCGTGGACGTGTGCACCATGCTGCCGCGCGACGACCCCGCCGACACGGCCGGCCCCGGCGCCGCGGCCACCACCATGCCCGTCTGGAACATCTCGGGCGGCGGCGGCGGCGGCAGGTGCAGCACGTCGGCGGCCTGGCACGCCTGCTGCTGGCACTGCTGCTGACACTGGGCCTGGCACTGCTGCTGGCAGGGCTGCTCCTTGATGGTGGCCAGGTGGTACATGCCCGAGGAGTACATGGAGCTGGACGGGTAGCCGCTGGGCGGCGTGCTGGAGGCCAGCATCATGGCGGCCTGCTGCTCGCGCTCCACCTCCACGGTGGCCGACGGGCACCCCATGTACTTGCCCTTGTTGCCGGACGCGCCGCCGCCACCGCCGCCCGACTGCTGCTGCAGGTTCTTGACCTCCATGCGCGCGCGGTCGCGCTGGTAGTACACGCCCGCGAAGATGACGATGTTGAGCACGAGCAGCGAGCAGCCGATGGCGATGGTGACGCCCAGCGCCGTGCTGTACGCCATGGAGGTCTCGGCGTCCGCGCTGCTGCCGTTCACCGTGGGCTGCGTGTGGTAGTGGATGACGCCGATGCAGGTCGTGGACGGCGGCAGGTCCGTGGTCGCGGACTCGGGCAGCGAGATGTTGCCGAAGCGGCGGCCGCCCTGACCTGCAGACAGTCACAACGCATGAGGAAGAGCTTCCGTTTGCCGTTTGTTTTTTCGGCGGGAAAAATGCCCACGGCCGCCTTCGGATGATTTGAGCGAGCTTAGTTTCCGGAATACAAATCCCCGAACTACAATTTCTCCCTGACAAGCGGCCGGCCCGGCCATTTTGAACTTTTGTCGTTAGCAGTGGCGGCGCATGGGGGCGTGCGCTGCGCGCTCCGCCGCTCGCCCGGGCGATTTCTCATAGTTTGAGCGAAGGATGGCAGGGGAGCCGTCCGTCGTTCTTTCCTGCCGTCCCAGGACCAGCCGGCGTGCTGCAGCCCGGCCCCCGGCCTTCCCATTCACTCTCCCTCCGACAATCATTCACCGAGCGGCTCTGTCGGCCCGGCCCCAGTTCCACTACATGAGTGTCGACGGAAGAAGAAAACGTCAGACAAGCGACTGACCTTGAGCGACGAGGGACGGGCCGCGCACCAGGCCGTCGTACAGCCCCGGGTCGTGGTGGTTGCGGAACAGGTTGTGGCGGCCGACGACGTCCTCCATGCCGGCGCGGTGCAGCTCAGGGATGAGGCGCAGCCACACTGACAGCTGGTGCGCGCGGAAGTGGTTCTTGAGGCGCGGCTTCAGGCCTGCAACACGGACAGCTTGGCGTCACGCAGGCTGCAGGGCAATGCACAGTGGAGTGGGCCAAAACTCTAGACGCGTTTTGAGCTCCAGAGTCGCTAAACAGGACTCAACCTGAACGTGTGACCCCATCAATGAGTTGCTCTTCGAACGAGGAATCCATTGATGGGTTCAAACCCGTCTGGGGTTTTGGCCGCCTCCACGGTCTTCTGGCCCACTGTGCCTCGAGCGGCGAAGACACACTAAAAGAGGCGAGGCCACCTTACAGCTAGGCAAAAAGCCGCACTTTACCCTGTAAGCAGGCAACCTTTACTACATCGCCCCCTGAAATCGTCCCTAGATCCGCCCTGCGGCGGGGCGAGGCGGCGGTGCTCCGCTCCGCCCGTCGTCGCCTGTCGTGCTGTGCCGGCGTTTGGGCCGCCGCCCCGTCAGCCCGTCACACACGGCTCGGCTCGCTCGGCTCGCTCGGCGAGGCCGCCAAGTACTACCCGCAAAAGTAAAGTGCCCCCCTCACCGCCACCCCCTCCCTCCCCACGGTGCCATACTCCCGCGCGTTCGGCGCCAAAATGCCCCGGCGGGCCGCTCGGGGGCCGTCAGGGAGGCCCAGCCCGCGCGTAATACCCATAAATAAGTAAAGCCAACTTGAAAGCAGTTTTCGGGCCGCGCGCCGCCTGTAATGCATTTTACATCGCGCCCGCTACAATGAGAGCGAGAGAGCGCGCTGCCACACCCGCCGCGCCTGCAGGCTCTGCTGGCGGTGTCGCGACAAAAGGGTGCACCGCGGGGCAGCGAGCCGCGGCATGTGTGTGTGGGGGGGGGAGGGGGGAATAATGCAGGCTGTCAAACATTCATCACGGAGCACCGAGACTTTGTGGGGCATCGGCGTCCTTGACTGTGCCGTCGGGGTGCGCGGGTTCAAGGTCACCAGCTTTACGAGGGTCGTGTGCGGCGGGCCGACGGTCGTCGACGTCCCCGTCGGCGCTGCCGGCAGCGTGTGACGTCACGTCGTGCTGCCCGTCGAGAGTGGCCGCGCGGCCGGGCTGACGCGTCGTGTCCTACAGTGTGGCCGACGAGGGCGGCGACGACGGCGAGGACGGGCCGGTGACGAGGGGCCGTCGCAGGGAAAGGGTGCGCCGCCAGCACGGCCGCCGGGGCGCTCCGTCTCTCTCGCACTCCCACGGAGCACGCCACGAAGTGAGGAAGACAGGCCGACGGCCGTATCCGGAATCAGCCTGCGGGGCTGGCCGCCGCCAGGACAGAACGGCATGAATTATGCAGGGCGGCGACGTCGGGGCGTCGCGCCGCGGCCTGCTCCTCCTGCTCGTCCTGCTCGTCCTGCTCGCAGAAATTAAGGTGACGTCCTGGAAGGAGGCGCCGCTCAGCCAGCAGGGCCGTGGCCGCGTCCTGGCGGGCCCCGCCGCGTCCGCGCAGCCCTGCAGGACGGCCAGCCCGTCCGCACTCACCGCTCCGTCTCTCTCGCACCTGCCCTACGGGTGCGAGAGAGAGAGGAAGCAACGTTCAGAATCACCCTGCAGGCCGAAACAGGGAAAGCCCCGCGCGGGAAGTAGGCCAGGCGTGCCGATCAGGCGGCCCTTTACAACCCTCTCAAGGCCCTCCCCTCCACTCCCCTCCCTTTGCCAGCCCTTTTAATCTTAACGTGTAACGCGCACTGTGCCATGAGCGATTTCCAGTGGCGCATCAAGGCTGGAGGCTCCGGCCCGGAGGCTCGGCCTGCAGGCCGTGATGGCCGATGTCCTGATGGATGACATGGCTGTCGGCGCAAAGAGGCGGAATACGGAAAACGCTGCGCCAGCCGCGGCAGCCCAGCCAGCCAGCGGAGCGGGGGGGGGGGGGGGGGGGGGCGACGGCCCGACCGCCTACGCTGCGGAAGAATTTTGGGCCCCGGGAGGGGGAGGGGGAAGGGGAAGGGGAGGGGGAGACAAACTGGGCGACACAGCCTGGACCAGTGTAATCGGCAGGCGTCATAAATAACCGGGTACCGCGAGGGCGAAGCGGGCTGGGGCGTAAAAACACGACAAGTCGTGTCGGACAGGGTGGCCGAAGCAAGCAGGGCTTCGCCAAGGCGAAGAGCAGATAGTAAAAAAAAACGCCGGTCCTTTTCAAGCCCCTTTCACACGCGGAATCTACTGCCGCGATCCGCCTGGGATGCCGTGCCCGGCCGCGCCGCTGCGTATCCCGTATCCTAGAAGAGACTACAAAAACAACAGCAGGACGGTGCTGAGGCTGAGGCCGGCCGCGAGGCTCGCCGTCGCCGCGCTCGGCCGCTCGGCTCGGACGTGCCAGGCATCGCGAGCCCTACAGCAGACTGATTCCGAGAGTCGTTCCCGTCGTTCCGTCTCCCTCGCACTCGCGGGGCGAGCCGCATCGCGCCGCATGGGAGGGAGAGAGACAGAGAAGCGACTCGCGGTCTGCAGGCTGCCTCACAGCAAATGCAAGGACCGAGGAGGCAAGGACTGGCGAGGACTGGCAAGGACCACAGCCACAAGGAATACGAATAAGGGTGGCGGTGCGTAGGGCGGTCTGCACGGCCTGTACAGTGTGCCGAACTTCGACTGCTGCGAGTTTGCATCATAAACTAAGTGCTTTTTTCTCTTGCGGGGAGTACGCTGCGCGTACATTCCCCCACCCACTCCGACCTCCACCCCGTTTGGCGGGGGGGAAAGCCCTCCGTGCTGCGGCACTGCAAGACCATGGCGGGCGAGACCATGGCGAGACCGGCTGCGAATACTCACTGATCTCCAGGTGCTTCTGGTGGCCGGGGTCGTACTGCCCCCACGTGATGCCGCGGAACCTGTTCTTCTCGCGGGAAACGGGCAGCAGGGCGTCCGCGCTCGACGTCGGGTTCGGGTTCCTGGAACAGCAGAAAGGACTCTAGTGCCATCAAATTCGTAGGGCTGACTGCGAGGCTGCGGTTGATTTTCCATGAACAGGCGGATGGAAGGGGGAGTGGCAGACTAGCCGCAGTGGAGGCCACAGCGACGGTGGAGGCGGACTAGGCGGAGCGAGCACAGCAAGGCGGAGCGACGTGTGTGGGATTCGACATCGATAATGCATGGCTCGGTGACACTGCGATTGCACCGCCTTGCCAGGCCGTGCCGTCTCCAACGGCCGCCAGTCACGGACGCTTCGTCACGGTCTATATCGCCAGCATGCCGCCAGCGAGCAGCCGGCTAATGGTGCCCAGCCACCACACTACAAGGCCTTTATGCAAACGCACACGTCAAGGGGTGGGGTGGGGCGCTAGCGGTGGCCCTCTTCACTTTACTTGACGGCTTTGCATATGACTGTACTGTACGCCTGTTGCATCCTCGTCGCCCTCGCCTGGCCGCACCGCCACCCAGGCCGCCACCCAGGCCGCCACCCTGGCCGCCACCCAGGCCTCCACCCTGGCATCCAGCGCGCGGGCGGCACACTGTGGAACCGAAGACACGGGTTAGGCGGACAAGCCCCTGGTCAGGTTCAGAGCTCTACTCTTCTGGAGTGGGGCTCAAGTCACGAATGATAGCACCTTCGGATTACTCGTTCCAAGAAGCAGCTCTCTGGCTCCGTACGTGTTTGGTTGGGTCCGTCGTCTTTGAGGAATGCCGCGTCGAAATTGTGTCCAGTGTCGAGGCCGTCTGGACGGCCTGGGCAAACTGGGCGTCGCCGGCCCACAGTGAACCAGAAGAACGGTGGAGGCGGCCAAAACTCTAGGCGCATTTTAAGCTTCGGAGTCGGTAAAAGGGACTCGAACCGAACGTGTGACCCCACCAATGGATTTCTCGTTCGGAGAGTAATCCATTGGTGGGGTCACACGTTCAGTTCGAGTCCCTTTTACCGACTCTGAAGCTCAAAACGCGTCTAGAGTTTCGGCCGCCTCCACCGGTCTTCTGGTCCACTGTGCCGCCCCCCCCCCCCCCCACGACCCGACAGGCCTCAAAGGCCGCTACAAGCAGCGGGCCGCATCGACGGTGACGGACCACAATGCAGCAGGCCGATGCCGAACGCTGTCTCTCTCCCACCGCACCGCGCGCGCAGAGAGAGAGAGAGAGAGAGAGAGAGAGAGAGAGAGAGGAGAGAGAGAGAGAGAGAGAGAGAGAGAGAGAGAGGAGAGAGAGAGAGAGAGAGAGAGAGAGAGAGAGAGAGAGAGAGAGCGACGCCTGTTCGGAATGGGCACGCCCTGGGCCTGGGCCTGGGCGCGGCGTCGAGCGGCGTCGAGCCCACCCCGGCACCCCGGGCCCGGCTTTGCTTCGGCCCGATGGGTCTGGATGGGTCTGGATGGGTCGCAGGGTCGGCGGCTCGGTGGGTCGCGTCGCAGCGTCGCACGGCCCGGGCCTGGTGTCCCGGCTTTGCGAATTTAAGAGTAGCCTTTGCTGGTTAATTCATCAGCCTCTTTAGAATTCGCATCATGGAGTCGCCGGGCGGCGAGGCGACGCGGCAGCGCGGCGAGAGGCAACCCTTTGCGGACAACACGAGGGGATACATTACTGGAGGCCCTCATGACAAAGGTACGCTGCCATTTTTTTTAAATTTATTTTTTGATTTTTTTTGTGTTTAGAGCCCTTTGCGTTGATTGGCGTTACTCGATGCGGTCCGCCAACACAGAGTACTCTGATGCTGTGAGTACGTTCCGTAAGGACTCTATCTCTATTCTTCGCTTTGGTTTTTGTCAAGGAAACACAATCTCGCAGATAAGAAAAAAAGGCGGGCGTCTCTCTCTCTCTTTTTTTTGTTTTGACTGTGGCAAAAGAAACATGGATTAAGGAGGGGAAAGAAAATGGCGGCAGCGAGCGCAGCGACTTCTTCTTCTTCTTTTTTCTTTACAGTGCGGAAAGGAATCAAATTTCTCATTAAGAACGCGGCGCGGAGGAAGGAGTGCCTCGCAGCCAATTGCAGAGGAATAAAACTCTGGCGAGCTGTCTTCCGGTGCGATACGCAGAACGCAGCAACGCGCAGCAAGCAATAAAGGACTTTATGGCGGTCCTCGGGGAATTGATGCTACTGCTGCCTGCATTAAAGTCTTGTCCTGTCAAGCGCGAGGCTGTCGAAGTGCTTACCCGTTGCGCATGAAGTTGGACCAGTACATGATCATGGCCTCGGACAGCCCGGTCTCGGACTTGGTGTAGTTCCTGGCGAAGGGGCCGGGCCAGCCGCCGACCAGCGGCGCGCCCCACACGAAGGCCAGCTCCTCGCCGTGTGCCGTCCCCATCCGCTGCAACCAGAACAAAAGGCCCATCGTGGGCATGGCAGGCGTGGCAGGCAAAGTGGGAGATTCTTCTTCGGTCGGCGCGGTTTTCAGGGTCAACGGCCCGGCGGGGGCGAAGACCCTGGGTTCGACTCCCACCGCCGCTCCCGCGATGAGACTAAACCTCGGCTTGAATCGAGGATCTAGCAGGAAGGAAGGCGACTGTGAACAGCAACCGCGTCAGGATGACCGCGTATATATCTCCATTCCACTTTTCCCCCAACAGTGCCGCGCCGCCGGTCCAGCGACTCGCGGCGTTTTGCCCCGACCAAGCCGCGGTTACCCCACGCCGTCTCGTGGTCGCGCGAAGCAGCGCGGGGCACACTGCTAAAAACAAACTCACTCCCGACAATCTCAGCTGCCGCTCTGACCTGGATGCTACTTGCGTGGCCCCGGCGAGTCAAACCACGGCCCCTCCCCCCCCCCCCCCCAGCGCCATCACGCGGAGCCCCGGCACGGCCCGGCATGGCCCGGCCGCACCGCGCGCAGACACACCCCAAATTTACGGCGCGAAAATGCCGGTTAGAACGGCGGTCGCCTATTCAAAGTTTGGCGCGTAAACGCATGAAGCTGGTAACGCGGCGCGATGGCCTCACGGCCCGGCCGGGCCCGGCCAGCGCGCGCAATTTCTCATAATACCGACCCTCCTCGCGCCCCCCTCCTTCCCCCATCCGACACACTCACCACCGCAACCACTTTGGCGGGGGCGGGGGCGAGGGTGCCGTGAAAGCAGCGTCGCGGCGTGGCCTGGCGGGGCCCTCGGCTTTATTTCGGCTTGGCGGCAGACTTTATTTTTTTCCATTTGGTAAAGTTGGTCGCGGAACAAGGAGGAATGCGATGGTTCGCGGAAAGGCGCTGCTTCGGGTGGAGCGGGAACGCGGCGGGCGAACGCTCCACAGCAGCCACTCCACTGTGACGGCCGTGGCGCCGCGGCCAGCACACTGGTAGCGCCAAGCACGCCAAGTACACCGAGTGGGCGGGGTCGTGTCGCGCAGTGTCGCATCGCGCGCAGCCCCGCCGTGTTCCCGGTGCCGCGGTGCCGCCGGTGCCACTCGGCGGCGTGCCCCGCCTGCCGCCTCGCAGTGTACCGCCCTGGCTCACCGGCTGGGCCCCGCGGCCACAGCGTCGCCGAGTGCCGCCCGCCGTGGCGGCACACTGACGCATGATGCCTTACGGTGGCGGAGCAGGTCGTGTTCGGCAGTTCGGCGCGCCGAGTCCCAGGCCGAGGCCGTGCAAAAACACGGGTCATGCCACGCTCTGTCTCTCTCGCACCCCTACGGAAGGCCCCGTGAGTGCGACAGAGACAGAGCGACGGGACGCGGGACGAGTGCTCGCTCATTAACAACAGCAGCGTCCGCTGCCCCGCTGCCCTGCTGTCGGCGTAAAGTCGCGCCTGTTATTGCGGCCCGCTCGAAAGCAATACAGACGACGCCAACGGCGCGGCAACGGCGCGGCAACGCGGCAAAAAAAATAATATCCCGCTCCGCGCTTCGCTCCGCGCTCCGGTCGGATCGGGCCGGGCCGCGCGGGCCCTGACCTCGCCCCCTAACAATCCCATGAAGAGCCTGCGCCCAGCTTTGTGTACGCGTGGCTGCTGGTCCTCAGCCCTGTGTTCATAGCGCTCTCTCTCTCTCTCTCTCTCTCTCTCTCTCTCTCTCTCTCTCTCTCTCTCTCTCTCTCTCGGACCCTCGTCACGGCTGGACGCAATCCGCGCGCTTGGCCGCCGCCGAGCCGGGCAAACCAAGGCAACGAAGGCAGCAGCCCTGAAGGACTGCAGCCAACAGCGCGGCGCTAACTACGCCACTATCGGCCGCCCCGCCCCGCCCCGCCCAGGCTCGCCAACTTTTTTGTTTTTTAACTCCCGTCATAATAGTGCGCGCTGCTTTACGATCCACTAGACGCGACTTTTGTGTGTGGCTGTACCGCTGCGCCGCTGTAGGGGCGGCGTGGCCCGGCGTGGCCGCACCATAAAACTCGGGCATCACGTGCCAGGCGCACGGCTGGGCCCCCCTCCCCCTCCCCCCGGTGCTGTCAACACGCCACGCCACCGACACATTGTTCGAGTGTGTAGTCTTCCAGACGGTGTAGGCGTATGTAGGCGACAATCCCCCCCGGGGGCGAGGCGCGGAGGGCTGGAGGGAGGCAGTGGCCCCGATAGGGCTGACTACTACTGTACTCCTGTACAGTGTAACCTGCCGGCGGCGGCACAGCACAGCCCTTGGCACAGCCCGGCCCGACCTGGGCCGACCTGGGCCGACCCGCAGCGAGTCAGCCTGTGATGGCGAGGCTAGGCAGCCCGCCTCGCACCGGCACGCCGCAGCCACGCCGCTGCCTGCCTCCACGGCGCTGAGCCGGAGGGACGGCGTGTGCTGCTGCGTGCCCCCCCCCCCTCCCTCCAGCCCCGCATCACGCACGGCGGACGACACGTGAAAGATTAACGCCTGGCAATGTGGTGATGGAATTGGCCTGCCTTTGCGAACGGGGCCGACCTGCGGTCAGATGAGCGGCTGCGCTTCCTCGCTCTGTCCCTCTCTGTCTCTCTCTCTCGCCGCTGCGCGGGAGGCCGCGCGAGTGCGAGGGAGACAGAGCGCGACATCGTTCGGAGTGAACCGCCGCGGCACTGCAGTGTGCAGGGCGTACAGCGTTCCCCCGGGGGCACCGCGAGCGCAGCACCGCGGCTTTGGCGCTGCGATTCAAGAATCGGAGCGGGAGGGAGAGAGACTGTTTAAATAGAGCGCCGTTCCCGCTCCCCCCACACGGCGCCTTGACTCCGCGGCCCGCGACCGGCCGCGACCTACAGAGATAGGGATCGCACTTTTAGCATTGTGCCCCGCCGCGGCGCGCCCGCGCTGCTTTAGCGCTTCAGCATTCCATTTTCGGCCCGCCCGGTCTGAATAAACCGGGTGTGAAATTTCGGCAGCCCCGCCCCTCCCCTTCCCCTTCTCTCGCCGATGACGCGGTTTGTTTTGATTTCACTCTTTTTCCGAAGGCGTCGGGAGGCGCGCTGCTTTCGGAACGGCGAACCGAACCGAACCGGGCGAACCGCCGGGCCCGCACAGCGATCAGTATTTGTTCGAAATGGTTACCGATGCGAAGAAAGGATACGGGGTTCCCAGGAAAAGCGAACACCGCCGCCCCCTCTACGGTGCAGCAACGCAGCGACGCCTCAGTGACCAGAGGCGATGGAGCGACATTGCGGTTTTGATGGCAGACGCGTGAAAGGCCGTGGAGCGCACCTTTGTGAGTGCGGATACCCACAAAGCGTTCGGTTTCACGGAACAGTAGTCTCTGTGGTCCAACAAGTACCGAGCAAGTACATTTCAGCGCGCGTCATGAGCTCTGGCTGGGGACCCGACGACGCGGCCTGTGTGAGACGTGGGATCATCCTTCAGCTGTTCCACGAACGCTTCAGTGAAAAAGCAAAATCGGATCGGGGTCGTTCTCTTCCGATGCTCCACTTCAAAGCGCAATCAAAAACGACAAAAAAACGAAAACAAGGCGAAAACAAAGCACTCGCAGCCCACCACAGGCTCGGTGTTCGGCGCACTGACGGATCGCTTCGGCAAAGCCCGTCTGCGGTCTGGATGCCGGCCGGGCCGGTTCAAGGGGCAATGCAAAAGAATACATAAAGCGCGGTTGGCGGGACTCGCAGCGCAGCGCAGCGCGGCGGGCTGGAGCATGGGCTGGAGCTCAAGTGGTGCGGCGGTGGCTCCCCCGGCGGCCTGCGCTAAAAGGGCTAAAAGCCGCTGCGAGGGGCACAGGGCGCGGGGCACAGGGCGCGGGGCACCAGGGCAGAAGGGCAGCAGAGCTAGGCCCTCCGCTTCGATACTGTACCAGTGCCCCGGCCGCCCTGGCCGCGCCGTACGCTATTTTGGCTTCGGCTCCCCGGCCAACACGAATCGAGACGCAAAGCCTCGGCACCTCAAACGCACAGCCAACTCGTCGGCGAAACCGTCCGCGCCACTGTAAGTGCCCCATCATTGTGCTTCGTCAAAGGACATGCACGTGAAAGAGAAAAGACCGGTGTGATGGGCCGTGACCCTTTGATTCCTGCAGGCTGAGCCGAGCGGAGGCAGGCTCATTTTGAAAAGTCGCGCCCTCTCTCCGTCTCCGTCGCACCTCCGCGGCGGTGCGAGAGAGACAGAGCGATTCGGAATCGCTCGACAGACCATGCGGGCCGGGCGGAGCGCGCTGAATAGTAGGCGCACTTTACCGTTGCAGCGTGGCATAGTGGGTCGAGGGGTGGGGTGGGGGGAGCGCCCTGTGTGCAGAGGTGCAGTGTAGGTGCAGTGTTGGTGCAGGCCCCAAGGCTAACGGCCGCCGCCCATGAATATACGTTCCACCGTATTGTCTCTCGCACGATGTTCAAAATGTTCAGGATAGTTTTTTTTTCGATTCGACGCAGAAAGAAAAAGGCTCAGACTGCCTGAACGTCCTAACCTTGACTTTAGGTTTATTATTTTCGACTACACGCTCGATGAGCTGCGAAAAAAAATATAGAAAACAGCGTGTTGCCGGGAATCTCCCAGAAGAAAGATATAAAGAAAACGGCGAAAAAACAACAAGTTTTCCTATGGTGGATATCGTGTTCCTCGCGCTGTCGCTCGGCTGTCGCGCGGTTCGCGGCGGAGATGGAGCCGCCCTTCACTGCCGTGCGTCACTCGTCGCCGGAGAGGCTGAAGGGGGAGGGGGGGGGAACAGGTGTGCGGGTCGCCGCAGTGGAGCCGCATCCCTTGCTTAGGGCTGCCACTCCAGACTACGCAACTCCACGCCGCGGCCCGGCCCGGCAGGCCCGGCCAGGCCCGGCCAGGCCCGACCGCCAAACGAGGTCCGTTGTCCAAGTTTCACGTGCGAGTGACGTGATCCAAGTGGCAGGCCGACAGAGTTGGCGGGGCGGGGCGGGGCGGGGCCCGTCGAGGGGGGCGCGGTCTGGCCTAACCTAACCTGACCTAGCCTCGTGGTTGGTG